TATTCCATGATAAGTTAACTTTAGGGCTGCCATAACTTAGAAATCACTTGTAGGCATACAACCGCCTACTTCCCTCTGGTCTGGCAGCTGTGTATACCTCTTCTTTATCACTTCAGTGGGGAGGCAGGTATCTTCTAACTTAATCCAAGGACATTGGATGTGCATTCATCTAACTGAAATCAATGGGATTTAAGGTTGGGGTTACTTTGTATACTTTGGTTTACTTTATATTGGGCTAAATGACCCCAGTTCATTAACTTCCCATTGCTTTCTGAACCAGCAAAATGCAAAAATTACATTGTATATGCTTAGTAGTTTCTTCTTGAGGCCAATGAAATACCAGTTTAGGATTTCACTTCCAGTTGACATGGTAGCAAGACGTGTTATTGGCTAGCCCTGTAATTGGTTGCAACTTTTAAAGTGTTGTTTTCCTTTTCCACCAAGTTTCTCGATGGAACCTTCATATTTAATCTCAGTTAGAAAATTGATGAATTTCCATTCCATCCATTATAGCCAGATAATTGAATGAATTACTGTCAGATTTCAGGGATACTGTAGGGAGAGGATGTTGTATTGTGTTTTTTTTTTAAAAAAAAAAACAGGAAAAATTGCACTTGTAAAAATATAATTTCAGAAAAGAGGTGGCACTACCTTGTTGTATGGGTTGCAGAATATATATATATATATATATAGAGAGAGAGAGAGAGAGAGAGAGAGAGAGAGAGAGAGTGAGTTGATTGTTGATTTTCTCCCTTTTATACAGCCATGGGATTCAAGGTGCTGCACAAAAACTGATACAGATAAAACGTCAATAAAAACCTGCAAATGGTAAAATATAATTAAAATATCAATAAAATCAAAAGCAATTTACAATCATACATTTAGTTCCCAAGGACTGCTGGAAGGACACCAAGGGGGTAACATAGCTTTTTTAGGAAGTATGTTGCAGAGACTAAGCACAACCACAAAAACAACTTCTCTAGTGTTCCCACTCAGTGTGTGTGGATAGAGACATGTGCATCCCATGTAGAGCTCAAAATGCAAGCATACTCATATTTGAGAATATAGTATTTTTGAAAGCCAGCACTTGAGACAGTAGGTTGTAACTTTTTAAATCAATGAACCTGTGCTTTTTGTGAGTTTGTTCAGCTTCACAAAAGAAAATACAGGGTTAGTCAAAATGAATAGGCCAATAAGAAAATTAATTTTAGACGAATGTATGTTTATTGTAACCAAACTACAGCTACGTAGCGACAGATAAACTATCAAAGTTTTGTCTCACCTTCAGAGATGTTCGATATGGGCGCCCCGTGTGACACGGCAGATGTCCAAGCGATAGTCCAGTTCATTCCACATCCGTTGCAGCACATCCGACGTAATGGCATCGAATGCAGCAACGTCTGGGAAGGTGTTCGTTGAGGTCCTAACCCTAACCCTAACCCTATCCCTAACCCTAACCCTAACCCTTGAAATTCTCGCTGGACCGTAATTACTGACATTGTTTTAGCAAATGTCATCACACAAAACGCCTTCTCTTTGCTTGATTCCGCCATTTTGAAAACAGCGACCCCTAGCGACGCCTAGCGGCATTAACGTACATGTGTGTTGCTCAAAAAAAACTTTGATAGTTTATCTGTCGCTACGTAGCTGTGGTTTGGTTACAGTAAACATACATTCGTCTAAAATTAATTTTCTTATTGGCCTATTCATTTTGACTAACCCTGTAGATATCTTGCACAAATAATGGAAACTGTTTTACAAAAAGAAAAAGGTACCAGTTCCATTTTTATGCAGGAAGCAAACAGGAGGCTAGAAATTTCATGGGGCTCTCGATTCAGTATCTCTGCAGGATGCCTTGACATGTTGAGACACCCTCTCATCAAGAATGGGAAATTTTGTGAATATTTTTCAAAGTGCCTTTCTGTCTTATATTAAGAAAACGACTTACGTTTCTTTATCTTGCTTTCTTTGCCACTGTTCTGTTATAAAGAACACCTGGAGAAATGTCTAAATACCAAGTCCAAGATGTAACAATTTGATTATTTTTCAAAACAAATATAGGTTATGTAGAACAACAGAGAGCCTCTTATTCTACTCATACATAGCAGCCTGCCAGGTATACCTGCTAAACATACATTTTTACAGTATAGGTTTCATTTGACAGCATTTTCTATGAAATAAAATGACAGAAGAAATTCTTGTAGCATGCTATCATAGGTTTTATTTCCAGGCAAATACTAGCACGCATGCATGCACATACAGAGAGAGAGAGAGAGAGAGAGAGAGAGAGAGAGAGAGAGAGAGAGAGAAAATGAATGTACACATTGAAGATGCAATCTTTCAAAATCCAGACACTCTATAAATGTCTGATTCCAGTGTTTGAAAATAGTGTTTATGTGTGTATGCATTAATAGCTATCTCTCTCTAGCAATAAATGGAGACCATGTATTTAACTACTATCCGTTAGTTTCACCTTTTGTCTGTCTCTTTGTTTTCTGCTTTCCTTGCTTGCTTATGTCATCTTATACAGGTTTATGTGGAGGTGATTGGTTGAAAAAAAAAAGAGGTTTTTCCTTTATGCTTTGGCTGAATGTCTTGATTTTTATATATGATTCTCTAAAGGCAGGAATTCCATACAGAATTTCACCAGGGACAATTTCATGATTAAGTGAGACACATTTCTGTTGAACAAAAAGGAAACAAAAATATCTATCTTTCTGTTTCATATTCGTAGGCTGCTTATGCTGTTTTTTAGCTATGTGTTACTTGTACTTTGAAGAATATAACTTATAATCACACAGAAAAATATTAACAATTCATGGTCTCTGACTTGTCATTCTCTGTAGTAGTAAAAGTATGTCACTTATAAATATGAGCCGCATTTTAGTTTATTTCTGTGCTAGCTTTTTCTCAGACAGGCCCCCAAGGCAAGTCACAAATTAGCATAAATAAAATTAAATAATAAAATTGAACTTCTAGAATTTAAGGCAACAGTCTTTCAGTGATATCTTTTTTAAAACCCAAATGTATTCTTCTCCCAGACTAAAAGTGAAAACCAGCATCACAGCGACATCAAATACAGCAGGAGAAAAACTGCCTAGAGTCACTACATCCATAGAGTAGTTCTTTGTAAATATCCCAGCAGGTGGAATGCCTTACTACTGGTGGTTCCAGACACAATGTGTCCCTTAATAAATCAGAAAAAATAAGCTCCTGTACAAAAGGGAGGAAAGGAGAATTGTGATCAGGTACTTGGGGTTTAACACCACTCCCTTCATTTTGCCCAGTCAAAATAATCTTTCATTGTTATCCTTCTTGCTGTCTCACTGCTTCTGTCTTTTTTTCTTTTCTTTCTCTGTCTCGAAGGAGAAACTAATATCTGAGCTAGCTGTATCTCCTCTGAGCCTGAGGTTGGGAAAAGTAGGTGGCTGTGCTAGACAGGATGTTGGAAACCATATTACAGGCCATGCTGATTTGTTTATCATTTTGGAGACCTGGATTTACACCTAGTGTATAATATATTGTGTGTTAGAGAATTAGAGAAAGAGAATGAAAATAGTGGCAGCGTAGTTCCAGGCAGAATGTCTGCTTAATTGTAAATGTGATAAGAGAACATACAGCAAATTGACCAATAATACTTAAAGCAGTTGTAGGGAACAGAGCAATGGTTGATGTTATCTGATGGAAAACAGCCAGGAGCGTAGAAGAGGTTAGGAAGAGAATAAAAGAAAGTGAGAAGAGAAAAAAATCAGTGAAGGAAGAAAGCTATAATACAACTTCCAAGACAATAATGCTGTTCTGGGCTGATAAACTTTCCAGAGATGCTGAACTGTTGGCAAGATAAACAAAAAGAGAAACAACTAGACTATGTCAAATAGGTATATTTCCCATTCTGATTGTAATGGATACCTGTTCTAGATGTCTGTAGCCATGTAATGATGCTGCTGGATATAGGAGTGCTCAAGAATATCTTTGGATGTTCACAGAAACTTGTTCAAGGTGTATAGTTTTTCAACAGAAGAAATTGTATTTCTAAATAGAAAAATGGATGAATTATATGGTTAAAGATAGTAATTTTTTTCGAAGGCTTGCATTATGAGTAAGGTAGGCATAAAATTATGTTTATTTAAAATACTTTAGATCTCCTTTTAAGGATCAGACCTTTATTAATTGTCTTCCAATGCACAGAAGTAGAGTTTGCATTCATCAAAATAAGCCATAAGACACCATAAAACATTGATAGAATTAATAATAATGTAAAGTTCATGTGTACTTCAGTTGGAATATAATTTTACAGACATGGAGACACTTTTAAGAGTTTCTTCTTCTCAGGCTAACTGATTTCACCAGCAGGCATCGGACCACTATCTTGGGAGCTGGTCTCAAACACAGACTAGATGATGCAAGATAAAGTGGTCACTTAAAGAAATTGATATATTTTCCCCCATCCTTTGCTTACTATATAAGAAATTGTCTAGGTTCTTCATAAATAAATGGGATGTTCCAATTACAGGACTTAAATTTAATTGATATTCCCCATGGGGCCTACTGAGGTTACCAATTCATTTTAAGACTAGGGCGTTAAGTATTTTTGTGCTTCTTTTAAACCTTAATATTTCATATTCATTTTGTAAACATGGTGAATATTTTTCTTTTTCATAAGCTATAAAGAACAATATTTTTCTTTCTAACTTGCATTGCCTTATATAAGAACAGTGTTAATTAACACGGTTGTATTATGATGATGTTCTTTGGACAGTGCAGAGAGCAATCTACAATATTTTGTGTTATATCACCTTGTTCATGATCCAATGTTAGGAGCCACAACACCATTTTTCTTCCATTGTATCTTCTAATTTTTTAGTCCTATCTTGCTAGTGGTAGTGTTTTTTAGCACCTTTCCCTTCATCATCTACTTTTAACAAGCACTGTATTATGATACTCTGTATTGTGAATCATAATGTGTGTTTACTAAGGACTTGTAAATGTTGCAATTTCAGGGTAATTTTGGTGAAGTGTACAAGGGAACATTAAAAGATAAAACCCCTGTCGCTGTAAAAACATGTAAAGAAGACCTTCCTCAGGAACTGAAAATAAAATTTTTATCAGAGGCCAGGTGAGTAGTGAAAACTAAAATAAAACAGCACTTAAAATTCATTGTCTGACAAACAGATCTCATTTACCAGATTGGCAGTTCAGTATGGACGTAAGGATGAAAATAAATGTTTTTGTTAATGCCAGAATTGCAATTGCTACAAAGTCATGGTAATGACTGGAATAGGAAAATGAACCCTATCATCATTGAGAATATCATCATCATTATATTTATATCCCGCTTTTTCTCTCTTAAGAGAGACTCAAGGTGGTGACTGCCATTTTGGACTGAAGATAGAAAAGTCAAGGATTTGTAGCATGAGTACAAAATTTCAAATACAAGTTTGAGCATTTGGTATCCAGCATTTCAAAATCTGAAAGAGTCCAAAATCTAAATTGTCCATATAGATGTCTGAGATAGTGACATCTTTGCTTTGTGATGGTTCAGTGTACACAAAATAATTTAAAATATTGTATAAAACTGCCTTAAAGCTATGTGTATAAGGTGTGTATGAAATATAGACGAATTTCATGTTTAGACTCGGGTCCCATCTTCAAGATAACTCAATATATACATATATGCAAATACAGGTTTTTCAAAATCTTCCAAAATTCACAATTCAAATCACCTGCGGTCCCAAATATTTTGGATAAGGGATCCTCAACCGGTATACTCTAGAACTTTCTTACTGTGCTTAAATTGTGAAAGTGTGCTATCTATCCATACTTTCATTTACTTATATACGATGTTGGTGAAAATGTAATTTCAAATTATTAATTTGAATCTGCCCCAAGTTTCTTCAGGGAGATGGAGGCAGGATACAAAAATAAAGTTATTATTATTATTACCTTATTAAGGATGAGCGAATTTTCCATTTTAGTTAAATAAGATTTGACTTATTCGAAGTCATGCACAGACATAGAGGGCTATTGTGTTTTTTTCTATTTAAATGAAAGAAAGTTCATGCAATCAAATAAATCTATGTGATGAAATGTTTCCACTCTTTGCAGAATACTCAAACAATATGACCATCCAAACATTGTAAAGCTCATAGGAGTGTGTACTCAAAGGCAGCCAATTTATATTGTGATGGAACTTGTTCCAGGTAATATGTTTACTTTATTATTTGCAATATAAATATTGTATTAGTTTTTTTTTAATTTTTTTGTGTTTTTATTTTCCTGGCACATACTTTGTACTGCTCATTTGCATTGCTTTGCTTTTTGTTGTTACAAAATATGCTCTTTTGGTCTGAGTCTGCCTGCTATTTCAAAATCATAGGGTTAGTTGGGTTTTGCCAGCAGGTGGAGATAGCATCAAAGTGATAGCTCCTAGGCCTATCTCATTGTAAATCTTCCAGATCATGGGAGTAGATAAATAATCTGCTATTACATTTTTTTCTGTATACTGAATACATATCAAAATAGCAGGGTGGAAAAAAACACAAACACATTACCAGAAGAAATCTCTATAGACTAAAGTATGCATGCAGTTCAAAAACAGAAATGAAGCCATGTCATACTTGAAACAAAAGAATAAGAATGTTTTCATTATGCGAGAGGCTATATGGAACTTTTGAAAACATTTTCATATGTTTTTCCCCAGTTTGAAAGTTTGTAACTAATTTAACAAATGTATTTTTGTAGCCTCTCCTTCCACTTTATTGGGTAGCCAGATAGATGTTACAAGATACAACTGGGTAGGTGTTGTTCTGGGAAGTAAAATCTACTACCTTCTCTCTTATAATTCTAACTGAAGCAGGGGTCCCTTGTGCAAACAAGAACCCGATTTTTTTAAAAAAATGTGTTGAACTTCCACTAAATAAAAACATGATGTCTGATATTCTTGATTAGGCTTGCGAAGGTTCTGGTCTTTGAGAACATGGAGAACTTTGACTCTTTAGTAAAGGTCCTTGATATGAAACCAGTTTTGCAACTGACTGTTAATGTAATTTGGAGGCATAAAATGTTTGCTAGTAGTTCAGATCATTTGTTACTTTCTCTAGAGTTCAGGAAGTTACATTTAAAATGAATTATTTAATGGTTTATCGCCATTGTACTTACTATTTTTAAATAACAATTTACTGTTTCATTTATGTAAAGTAATTGAGTTTTTAAAAATCCAAATGCTACAAGCTGCCTGTCTGAAGCAGAACACACATTTTTTCTTTGCCCTGCCTCTGTGTTGACTTGTTCTGGGTAATAATGGAAACCTATGATGTAGAAAGGAGCAAGGTATGTCAGATTGTGCAGCACATGAAAAGCTGTAAATGAGCACCTTTCTCCAACAAATTCTGGCATTCCAATGAGGTTTTGTTGTACTGCTTGGCCAGGAATACCCTCAGAGCCTGCTCTTTCCCACAGTATAATGACTTAAAATTATTGGCCTTTGATATGAAACCAGATCTACTGCTGGTGTTGGTACACCAGCTCAAGGGAGCATGGAGTTCTTGAAGGAAATTACGCTTGTCTAGTGTTAGCACTAGGACTCAAAGAGTTGCAACTGTTAATCTAAGCTGATCCTTAGGCTTCAGTGTCTCAGCTCCTAAGTCTCCAGGGTCTCATAGAATCATAGAGTTGGAAGAGAGCTTGTAGGCCAGCCATTCCAAGCCCCATTCAAAGCACCCCCGACAGATATCCACCCAGCCTCTGTTTAAAAGTCTCCAAAGAAGGAGGCTCCAGCACTCGTTCCCACCTTTGTTTCGGCTTGATATCTCCTCCTCTTTATTTACTCCTTGCTCAGTCTTTCAGCTTGTGTTCAAGCACTGCTGGAAACAAGAGTTACAACACAAAAGCATATGAGACAGCCAGGTCTTAGACTCTATGGTATTTCTATTCTTCCATTCCTCTTCTTGGATAACAACAACAAAAAAGGGCACAGAAAGTAACTACTTCAGACTACTTCAACCAGAGAAGTCAGCCATAGCAGAGCACCTGATGAACCAGCCTGGACACAGCATATTATTTGAGAACACAGAAATGCTGGACCACACCAACAACCACCATGTCAGACTACACAGAGAAGCCATTGAAAATCCACAAGCATGTGGACAATTTCAACAGAAAGGAAGAAACCATGAAAATGAACAAAATTTGGCTGCCAGTATTAAAAAACTCGAAATTAAAAGAGCAAAACAACAGAGGGAAAACAATCTGGGACATCTAATCACCTCTCAACAAAAGTTTGCTCCAGGCACTGCCAGGCCATCAAATGCTAATGAAGGTGGTCAGTTGAAACATTCACACCTAGCTCCAGCAGAGAAGAGCTCTTTGCCCCACCCCAGCCATTCCACAGATATATAAACCCATTGTCCTAATTCCAACAGACCTCACTACCTCTGAGGATGCTTGCCATAGATGCAGGCGAAACGTCAGGAGAAATGCCTCTAGAATATGGCCCTATAGCCCGAAAAAACCCACAAGAACCTAGAATTTGCTGTATTTGGGAGCAGAGCAGCTGAATAAAAATTAGATGAATAGTTAGATGGAGCACAGCAATGTAGACTTGAAGGAGATATAGAAAATATGCATCTATCTCTAGCAGAGGAGAAAGAGTTAGGAATGCCCAACTCTTAGTGAACCAGGCAGCAGCAACTATATATGTAACTGCTTTCCCATGCTAAGGATAAGCGTCTAGAGCAGGTTGCTAGGAAATAGTAGCTTTGTTTAGGGCAGTAGCACTGTGGAGATACAAAATGGTAATCTGGTAGCCACCAGTATCATCATTTGTCAGGCAGCATGAATTACATTGTTGCTCTTAGCATCTCTGTTTTATGGTTGCAAGCACATGACTGTTTTGTGACAGCTGCTTTGTCTGCTTATTTTAAGGCCAATAATTCATGTGAGCTTTTTTCTATGAGCAGAAGATGCCATTTTGCTCTCTGATGCGGCCATAAATGTGGGCTGACTGATGGCAGGAGAAATTCTGCTCACAGCTAATGATTCAGATGATCTGTCAGTAGCCTGGAGCTGCTGCAAGCAGAGTGGTCATATAAGGTCATAAATGCTGTAGTAGAGGGATCCATGTGAGTTAGGGGACTCTCACTACAATTGTATTTATATGTTTCCTCCATTTTTATGATGTGATCAATGATGTAACTTCATTTGTCTACAGTGCAATGGGCAGAAAAAATAGCTTCATAGGATGAAGAAGTAGGGAATTTGGTACATTGGATTCTGCATTTGAAACTGCTCCTTTTTCCCTTATCATACTCTTAGCTAGAAACTGGTGACATAATTAAGTTCTTAATTTGTTACTTTTAAATGCATATGGGTTTTGCGAAATTTAATATAGATTCAGTCCCTACTAAACCACTAGCTTGTGTGTGTATGTGTCAGCACATAACTATAAAATTCATGCTAGTGTCCTTTTTATGACTTTAGTATTTCAGAGCATATTCTTTTTCATTTCATCCATCAAAATATTGCTGATGCAGCATTAGGCATTTGTGGATACCTTAAAATGTTATTCCATAATGCTCTGTTTGGTTGCTCTAATGTTTCATTTCATGCCTAATATTCCAGAACAAATGAGGATGGGAGAACATAAGCTGACCACTTATCATCATGGTGAATGCACATTAACTGTTTAAAACAGGAGAGAGATCCTTTAATTTATATGTCACCTAAATTCAAAATATGTTTGCACACTACATAAGACACAGTGTCACATTTTATCATTCTCCTGTGACTTGGCAGTGAGATTTTTTTTTTAAAGGGAGAGTACAGAGGACAAGAAAAAGAAAGAAAGATGGACTGTGTCTGTGTGTGTGCGTGCGTGTGTCTGTAGACCAGCGGAGGCTAGAAATGGAAGTGGAGATAGTTTGGGATGATACAAATCAGACATTTGTTATTGTTCTCATGTCACTGCTACTATAATTTTTAAAAGCCCAGTATATTGAATAATTTTTAATATTTATATTGGAAAGTGCTTATTGTCCTTATTGTATTGTACTTATTAAAGTTGCATATTAGGTGATGTCATAGAATCATAGAATCCAAGAGTTGGAAGAGACCTCACGGGCCATCCAGTCCAACCCCCTGCCAAGAAGCAGGAATTGCATTCAAATCACCCCTGACAGATGGCCATCCAGCCTCTGTTTAAAAGCTTCCAAAGAAGGAGCCTCCACCACACTCCGGGGCAGAGAGTTCCACTGCTGAACGGCTCTCACAGTCAGGAAGTTCTTCCTCATGTTCAGATGGAATCTCCTCTCTTGTAGTTTGGCTGGTACAATAAACCATTCATTCATTCATTCATTCATTCAATACTAATCATTTCTTCAGGGAATGGAAACCTGGAAGTAGAAGGAAAATTTCAGAAAACTTTGTTCCAAATCCAGTCCTTTTCCTATTTCTGCTGCTATCCAGATATTAGCTGATGTCCTTTTTCAAGCAGTATTTCATCTCCTGATGCTAGGCAACAACATATCCAAGAAGCCTTCTCTGGCTTTCAGGGACATCACATATTGCTAACAAGTTGCTGTAGTCCTAGAACACTGTGGCATTATATAGCAACTTGCTTAGCCAGTAACTGGACAAGAATTAATTAATTGGTGGATGGAACTTTTTTTTTTTTTTTGCTTTTATTTCCCAGTTCTTTCATTATTGTAAAGAAATAACATGACTAGCAAGAGATGAAAAAAGTCTATTTCTCTTTTATACGGTTTTTCCAAGCTTAGTATTGAGCAACAAGTAGAGTGGCCAGTTGTTAAAATGATTTATTTATTGGCATTGCTGTTGGGAGCTTAAGTGTGAGGTAAGCATGAGGCCAAATATGTTCAATCAATGAAATGAAATGTGTTCTGACAGCAGTAGCCCCATCAACTCCACTTACCAACACTGTCCCAGTTCTGATTATCAGTGATGTTGTCATCAGAGTTTTCCATCGAGTTTGGCCTCTATGATAGCATGCATGCAAGAGTCAATAGGGGCAGGACCCTTTTCATTTTTCTGCTAATAGTCACCCTGTGGTACACACAGCCATCCTTCACATGTTGCCTCCACTCTGTGTCTATTCACAAGAATGAACATACACATACAATTGAACTCATGGAATCTCCTGGAATCAAGGGGCACCCTGCCGAATCAGAATGACTTTCATATAGAC